TGCCCCTCCCCCTTCCCTTTCTGATTTGGCAATATACGGGGTGCGCAGCGGGCCGTGGGCGGCGGTGGTGGAATGGATGACCACGTACGTTATCGCAATATTTAAATTCTGCCTCCTCAAGTCGTTATCTCCGCGATCCTAATACTCAGCGGGAGGATTGGTTGACTGTTCGTTTCAGGTGCCTAGGTGGCCTAGCCAGCTGCAAGGAATTCCAGTGAAATAATCCGGCTGGGCACGTGCCAATCTGCATGAATTGGGAATGAAATTAACGGGGTATGGTACGTCCCCATGGCAACAACTAGCGCGTGGTATTAATCAAGCGCGGCGCGCGTCAATTGTATCAGGTTGACAGTGCAATGAATCGGAAGTTCCGCGCCTCTCTTAGAGAAAGTTGGGCAGAGATATTCTGGCAAGGAAGTGACTGTCTCTTTTTAATCAGCCATCAGCGGCGACGTAGAGGCTATATCTTTGGTCCTCCCCCCCCCCCCCCAACTATAGCGACCAGCTTCCTCGTGGTTCGAGGCTAGATATGTCCCGGTGACCCACAGATGCACCGCTGGAATAAAGCATCACATATTTCAAAATTTGGAGCATTTGAATTTCAAGGAATCAACTTGCCAGCATCTCTGGATTAGGCGCCACATCTTCACACATGTGTGCTGGTTGTCACGCTGGCGTCATGCACTGTTGCGCTGTAGTAAGAGCGCCATGGGATGTGACATAGGCGCGTGCAGTCTCTGACATGGCCCAAAGCACCGCGCCGATCACTTAAGCAGAGGGCATGTCTATGCTTCATTAGTGCTGTTCACAAACCACTAATGTGGACAATGCACTTAGTGAAAATCCCTGTTCTTTGCAACAGCTGGGACACATGTCACGTAACTAGCCCATGCATGAATAGCGTAAGCACTACTTCAGGTTATCGGCGGCTAGTAGTCTTAGTGCAAACACCGCTTACCAAGATCTGAGTGAAACACCGTGTCCGGGTCCTACGTAAGACTCTGAAAGTGACCGGGTGTTACGTATGCCACCGAGGGAGAGAGTTGGGGAGCAGCGCCGACGCAAATATCGCTCAACGTGACCCGTGAAGAGAGTTTCTGGGGAAAAACACTCACTTACCTAGGTCGACGGAGAGCACGGATGGGGCGATTATCACCACCGAGACGAGAAGCGGCGACAGGGAGCGGGTGCTGGCTGGCGTCATGTTCAAGCCCGGCTGGTCTGCAGCGTCACTTCGGCCGGCCTTCCAGTGAGGCCGTCAGCCGCACGGCCGGTCTAGCGAGGTGGTAATCGTCAGGGTCGTCATGTTCAGGCTCCAAGTGTCCTGGTGCCGTTCGTCTCACAGCGTGCTGCAAATGCACGAGGGCCGTCAGTAGCGGTTAGTGCGGCGAACGGGGTGCGTGTGGCATTGTGTGGACGGTGTCACCGAAACAAGCGCTGAGCCCACACGTGGCATCTGAAACCGAACGTCCTAAAAACACCGAACATGGTATTCATATTCGTATTCTGTTACATATGGGAGAAAACTGTCATATAGATGGCATGCATGGTGATGGCGGCATGCCATGCTTAATGGCATACACTGCCCAGTAATTCGTGAAAGCGGCAGTGACCTAATGGGGAGTGTTGCGTTTGGAAACCAGAGATACGGGGTCCGTTGCCCGCAGTCCCCGCCTTTCCTGTCAGGATGAGAGGCAGACACGCCTTATGGCCTCGGCTTCTGGAGTGCGCGGTAAAGTCCCAGTCTACAACAACGGTAGTAATTTACGGCTGGGTATGAATGTAATGCACCATTCCAGTTTTATGGTTGGTTATTTCAAGGAAGGTTCATTACAGTTCCATACAATGGCAACACGCCATGCATGGTGCTGATATCTAGGACGCACAGCGTTATGTGAAGTGCCAATTTACTATAAAAAACAGTGATAGCGATGTCTATTTGAAAAAAACGGTTGATGGTAAGGCTATCTGTCGCTATGATGAATTATTACGGATAACGTTTTTTCACTATCGCACAGAGCAGCGGTGCATATCTTCTTTCGATGGTATTAATTTGAAGGAGTTCGTCTAGTCCCCCCCCCCCGATCAACCCGTTGCGTAGCTCGGTAACGACGGAGTGCAAAGCGGATGGTTCATCACAGGTGAGGTATTGCGCCTTTTATTCGCGTGATATTTGCATAAAGCCTCAGAACTCGGCGGGTAAACGCAAAGCACATTTACTAAACGCCTCATCCTTTCTGTCCGCTCCCCCCCCGCCCCCCCCCCCCCCCCCTCTCTCCTTCTATCTCTCTCTCTCTCTCTCTTCTCTTCTCTCTCTCTCTCTCCTCTCTCTTCTCTCTCTCTTCTCTCTCTCTCTCTCTCTCCTCTCTCTCTCTCTCTCTCTCTCTCCTCTCTCTCGCTCTCTCTCTCTCTCTCTCTCTCTCCTTTGCTCGGTCTCTGTTTGTCTCTCTAGGCCTCGTCTTTAAGCTGTCCCCTTATTACCTCTCGCGTTGTAATTAAGTGACACTTCGGATCGTTCGGCCCCAGAACACAGCCTCAGAGCACATTTCCCATAATAAGTAAACTATTCCCATCGGCCTCGCTGCATTGATCGATCCCCGGAAACAGCCCGGCGCCGCTGGTGCCGGAGCTCAGTGAGTAGCGAGACCACCGTCCGAGACCTGACTGCCACCGCCTGAGGGAACCCGTGCAGGTGCTAATTAGACTACCGTCGCCCTATGTTTTGGTATAATCACACCAGGTGATCCGCCATTTCCTGGGGGCTTCAGCTAACGCGATTAGCCTCGACTTCACGAGCGAGTGCAATTCGGGTTGCTGCTAACAAGGTTCGGGGTGTCTGCGTGGCTCCCGCCGGACCCGGGCCGGACCGGCGACACTGGCGGACGCGGCCGGAGCGTGCGCCGCCCGCCGCGAGCCCTTTGTTCCCGTCGAAAGGCTGGCCTCACGTCGATTTTAATTCCATCGGTGGAGGTGAGGTCCAGGCGGCCGCCTAATGCGGCATCGATTGGCCGTGAGCCGATATTTCGGCCGTCGGCCGAACGCCACAGGCCGGCCGGGTCGCCCGGTGAGGCGAAGCTCCAGCACGGGACCACGCTTGGTGGTCCGGACCGAGCGAGGTCAGGCTCGACACACTCTGCGCAGGACTGGTGCTTGCCCACAGAGCTGTGCGTAGCTGTAGCCGCGTGTGAGGAAGCTGCCTCTGAAGCTCAGACAGTAGCGTTGCAGCGCCTGCAGCCATGTGCTTATCCTCGGAAAAGATGTTGCACTCCGGAAGCCTTTGCTGAGAACCCAGTGCTCGTTGCATTCTCTGTCGACTCGATCAGGAAAGGATGAAGAGAGATAACGACGTGAATAAAAAAACCGGCTTTCCTAGAGCCGTCGGAGACACGATGACAGCTGTTCTGAGACCCCCCCCCCCCCCCCCCAGATGAGGTGGGGCAGCTGAAGGGCCTGACGTCACGCCCCGCGCTAATTACAAGATCGGACTAATGCG